AAGTTGATTTGTTTTCTTCATTAATTTAAATTTAAAGAATTGGTGCACTTTTTTATTCGATTCTTTTCCCATTTTACACAGAATTTTTTACAACTTCACACACTGAATTCACGATCGCTTAACAATTAACATACACAGTGCGACAAAAAAATGGAGGAACTTTTGAAGAGACCTAGTAGGAATTGTTTTATTAGGTCGGATATAATACAAAACCGTGTTTGAAATATTTCTTACACCTTCAAAATCTGCTATTATTTTGAAAAAAACGTTTTTTCGGAGCTTTTTTGTCTTAAAAATTCCTTAACGCAAAATTTTAAGCCGATTTTAAAATTTCTGACGTTTTTGAATAGTTAAATATTGTAGTTAAAAAAAAAAAAAATACATCTTCAATTAATTTAAACAAAAAGAATAAAATTTTTACACAAATTTTTTTTGTCTTGTTTTTTGGACTTTGCCGCCATTTTTTTGCGTCCAACTTACAAGATATGGTATCATTTTTGACACACACCAATATTGTCTCATTAATCCTGAATATAACGAGACCAATTTGATTACAAAATTATGACCAAATAAACAATTCCTAGTAGGTCCCTTCAAAAGTTCCAAATCACTATCGCATTGTGTTATCTTGCCTATACGTGTGAATGTATACCACTACATACGCAAGAGAGACAAAACGGTCTTGGAACCGCAGAACAAGACAGAATAGTCTGACAGAATAAGAATCTGAGTCTTTTTGTAAAAAATCAGGAAAAGACACTTATTTGCAGACAACGAGAAACGGCCAAGAGTTATTTCCGAGCTCTGCTTACAGCGGATTTCTTACGCTTAGGGGACTCATTTAGTAGGTGACTCATAAGGGCACATCTGAGTGTCAAGTGCGTGGAGCTGGTCATTGATTTTTCGAAAGCCTGTGATCAACTCTTTGAACTCTTTACTTTTGTCTCATGAACGACATTATTTCGTCCTGGACAGACCAGACACGGGAAATGGCATCCGAAACTGACTGACGAAACGGAAGCGGGTACTACGTTTTCACATAGCTAGCTATGGATGGTAGACTGGGATGAGGAGATTGTCTTATTACGCACAAATGCATAACCTCTATTGCACAATAAAAAAAAGAATAGAAGAGGAAGACGCAGATCCGAGCTATGCTTGGATTGAAATTAAACAAATTATTAATTCGCCTCCAAATATATCAAAGCAAACGCAAAAGGATACGATTTTTGTTTAAGTGAAGTTCTTCAAATCTAAAGTAGGTAAAAACCGGTTTATAGTAAAATTTATTTAAAACCCACTGAGCACAAAACACTACCGTTAGCTTAATAAGTAGGAAGAGAAGTAATAAATATGATGTATGAGCAAAGTTTCGATGTACTAGAAACTGTTATTAAAATTGTCATATAATAATATTATAATAATAAAATCCTTCGTCCTTTTACCAAAAAGGATGGCTATAGTCGATTTTCCCTATTATATATATACTCTTGAGTCTCTCTTATAAAAAATACTCGGTACTCGTGGAGTACAAGGTGGTATTGTAGTCGTGGGAATGCATTTAACGTTTCACAGGGGAAAATTTGCACTGTTTTTGTGTCATAAATGTGTTTTTTAAAAGTATTCAAATTTTGGATATTTAAGTTTTACATTATTAACAATACACTACTATTTTATCTTACATACTAGGGTTGTTGGTTTTTGAAAAAATATCGTATTGATGATATTTGCTGTGAAAAAAAAATCATTCGATAATATTAAGAAATATTACCAACAAAATCGATATATCGAGTATTTTTGATATTTTTTATGGTCAGCTAAAATTGAAAAAAGGTTATTTGTAAATTTAAAAAAAGGTTTTAATATGTGTTTTCATCCGCCATGAACTGCAAATAAGAGCTATTTTTTATTTAAATAGTAAATTGAAAAACAACAAATATTTATACCCACTCTCAAGCAACTTTTATTAACGTTCATTGAAATAAAAAATAACAAAATTATTAAGGACATTGTATTTAAATTTATTTATAACAAGAAAGGAAAGCTAACTTCGGGCGGAGCCGAAGTTTATATACCCTTGCAGTTAAAACCAGATATATATCTCAAACATCGGATATAGTTATAGTATATACCAAATACCATTTCCGACCGTTCAGTTATATGGCAGCTATAGGATATAGTTGGCCGATCCTAATGAAATTTCCTACGTCGGATTAACTGGCCAAAAATAGAATCTGTATTAAGTTTCAGCTTTCTATCTTCAAAAACACGAAAGTTGGGTCATTTCCGATCGTTGAGTTATATGGCAGCTATAGGATATAGTCGGCCGATCCTTATGAAATTTGGTAAGTCGGATCAACTGACCAAATATATAATCTGTACCAAGTTCCAGCTTTCTATCTTCAAAAACACGACTTGGGTTAAAGTTGGGTCATTTCCGATCGTTCAGTTGTATGGCAGCTATAGGATATAGTCGGCCGATCCTTATGAAATTTGGCATGTCGTAATGGCTTGCCAAAAACAGTTTTCATGTCAAATTTGAACTCTCTAACTCTAAAAACACCAAAGTTATACCATTTCCGATCAATCAGTTATATGGCAGCTATAGGATATAGTCGGCCGATCCCGGCCGTTCCGACTTATATACTGCGTGCAAAGGAAAGAAGGGTGTGTGCAAAGTTTCAAGACGATAGCTTCAAAACTGAGAGACTAGTTCGCGTAGAAACGGACAGACAGACGGACAGACGGACATGCTCATATCAACTCAGGAGGTGATCCTGATCAAGAATATATATACTTTATAGGGTCGGAGATGTCTCCTTCACTGCGTTGCACACTTTTGGACAAAATTATAATACCCTCTGCAAGGGTATAAAAAAAATTAATATAAAAACAAGAAAGGAAAGCTAACTTCGGGCGGAGCCGAAGTTTATATACCCTTGCAGTTAAAACCGGATATATATCGCAAACATCGGATATAGTTGGCCGATCCTTATGGCAATAGGAATATGTAATCCAATTTTTTACAATACAAAATCTAAAAAAAGTCCCAAACTTCTATCTTCAAAAATACGAAAGTTGATATTTCTACCAAGTACCATTTCCGATCGTTCAGTTATATGGCAGCTATAGGATATAGTCGGCCGATCCTAATGAAATTTGGTAGGTCGGATCAACTGACCAAATATATAATCTGTACCAAGTTCCAGCTTTCTATCTTCAAAAACACGACTTGGGTTAAAGTTGGGTCATTTCCGATCGTTCAGTTGTATGGCAGCTATAGGATATAGTCGGCCGATCCTTACGAAATTTAGCATGTCGTATTATTTTGCCAAAAATAGCTCTCACCTAAAATTTGAACTCTCTAACTTTAAAAACACCAAAGTTATACCATTTCCGATCAATCAGTTATATGGCAGCTATAGGATATAGTCGGCCGATCCGGGCCGTTCCGACTTATATACTGCGTGCAAAGGAAAGAAGGGTGTGTGCAAAGTTTCAAGACGATAGCTTTAAAACTGAGAGACTAGTTTGCGTAGAAACAGACAGACGGACAGACAGACGGACAGACGGACAGACGGACATGCTCATATCAACTCAGGAGGTGATCCTGATCAAGAATATATATACTTTATAGGGTCGGAGATGTCTCCTTCACTGCGTTGCACACTTTTGACCAAAATTATAATACTATATCCTATAGCTGCCTATTTTTGGACAGTTAATCCGACCTACCAAATTTCATAAAGATCGGTCGACTATATCTTATAGCTTCCATATAACTGAACGATCGGAAATGGTATTTGGTATAAATACAAACTTTGGTATTTTTGAAGATAGAAGCTTGGGACTTTTTTTTAGATATTTTATTGTAATTAATTGGTTTTATTATGATATTCTCATAAGGATCGGCCAACTTTATCCGATATATATCCGGTTTTAACTGCAAGGGTATATCAACTTCGGCTCCGCCCGAAGTTAGCTTTCCTTTGAAATGAATGAATATATGTTTTGAATGAATATTTCTTGAAAGCCGAAGCACAAATCAATAAAATTTAAAATGGATATACATACTTATATTTTGAACAAATTCGTGCCTGTGTTTCCAACAATTTGTAATTCTAGAAGGTTGTGTCCGTACAAAGCTTTCGTAATAAAAGATCAAATTTGGGAAGTTTTAAAAAAAATGTTTGGATTTGTTCAGTGAGTGTCTATATCCATCTTATAAAGCCATAAATTCTTGATTCAGAACATCTAGGCTCAACTGCGCCTTTTTTCGAAATTCCAATTTTTAGGAAGGAAGGTTACAATCAGAAATGCGGTTCTGGTGGAAGTGTGGGCCAAAAAAAAATTTGGGGCGGATGGGGCACAAAAACAGAGCGAATTCCCTGCGATTTCCCGCAAGAAAAAAGTTTGAAAAGCCCATTTTTTACAAAATAGCTAGCATTATTGTCATACAAGAAAAAGAAAAACATATTTTTTTTTATTTTTACCATAACATAAAATAAACCACGCCCATTTTTTAATTATCTTCATTCCATTGTTATTATTAATTTAAGAAACCGAATTAAAAAATGTTGGTTTGTCTTTAAGTTATTATTTAATTCCACAAAAACAGGGAAAATTCCCCACAGTTGCAGCGGTAGCGACGCGATAAACCACATGATGTTTTCCGTGGCTAAATCGCAGGTGTGAACGCGGCGAATTTATTTGCGGTTTTTTTTATTCGCAAAAATGTGAATAAAATGGAATGATTCGTATCATATTATTATAATTATATTGGATCAAAAGCCAGAGTATAGTAATTTAACATGTAGAAAAGGTAAAAATTAGATATTTAGTAAATATTATTAATTAATAGATAATATTAATAGATAAATTAAAATAGTAAAAATTACAGTTTTAATTAGAATATTAAATAGAATAGATTTCTAATAAATAGAAATTAAATAGAATAAATAGAATATTAAAAAAAAATTAATTTATCTTTCTATTTGCAGGGCTTTAACGGAAAAATAACGAAAAAACTTAACATGGCTTGGGCTTTATCTAAAAATAAGATATGTTAATCCATTTATTAAAACTGTAATACTAACTTAGTACTGCCTCAAAAAAAAAAACAATGAGGTTTTCTGTTGGACCTCATCAGTCTCAAAATGGACCGCCTTTTAAAGGCAACAGGTGCTTCTACAATTGCCAATGCATATGTTGCCGTCAGGGATGTTGTGTTGTTTTTATTGACAGCTGCTGTTGTTGCTTTAACTTCAATAGTTGTAATTGTTATGGAGGTAGAACAAAACTATCCCATACTCAGCAGCTTGCTAGTATAAAAGTTCCTGGAACTAAGTCCTTTGGATTTTCAAACCTAATGGCAATATTTTTAGTGCTTGTGCGTTGGGTAACAGCACTAACCACGCTTTTATCTAGCTGCATCCTACTTGATAGTGGTGCCGGGCTTAGTCCCTCTGGAATTTCAGGAGAAAGGCGGCCAAGTAACAAAACTATTTCCGTTGCCATTTCTAATGCTGCTACTGCCAATAACAATTCGATTTTTAAGCTCAGATCCCTTCATTCGTGGTACAGTTTATGCGAACTGACCAATGATGAACAGCTAAAATCAAAAAATTTTCATAAGATGTTTTGCAACAATCGTAACATAAGACGACAGCGAAGAAGAAAAAGACGTCGGCGCCGCAGACGAAGAAGGTATACTAAAACTGTTTTTAATAAGCAGCTTAACATACAACGACATCAAAAGCTGCAAGAAAAACTTCATATTGAACATGTGGAACTACAGCATGATACAATTTTTCAACAACGACTAAGTTTTGGCGAAGCAACATGCTCAACGTTTAAAATATTCAAAGTAAATTACAAATTAGTATCGGGGGTCAGGCAACTTTACGTTCCAACAACAAAAGCCGTAAAAGTATCGCCTTTAAAGTATTTTTTATCGACAAATATTTCAATGCGTAGCTGTTCCAAAAACAAACGAAACCGGTGCAATCTGATCTGGTTGCTAATCGGTCTTGTTTGGTTTGAGATTAAACTTATTAACTGTAACGGAATTAGCTCCAGCAACTACTTTGTTTCCAATTCGGTGAATCATAAGGGTTGTGCTTTTTGCCATGAAGGAGGAAAAACCCATATTTACAACAATAAAGGCAAGTATTTTCATTTTTTTAATGCGTTTCTTTGTTCCGACGAATAACCCGATCCATATTTAAATTTTCATGTGTCCACTGAACTTTTTACACCCTTGCAGAGGGTATTATAGTTTTGGTCAAAAGTGTGCAACGCAGTGAAGGAGACATCTCCGACCCTATAAAGTATATATATTCTTGATCAGGATCACCTCCTGAGTTGATATGAGCATGTCCGTCTGTCTGTCTGTTTCTACGCGAACTAGTCTATCTAGTCTGCACACACCCTTCTTTCCTTTGCACGCAGTATATAAGTCGGAACGACCGGGATCGGCCGACTATATCCTATAGCTGCCATATAACTGATTGATCGGAAATGGTATAATTTTGGTGTTTTTAGAGTTAGAGAGTTTAAATTTTACACGAGAGCTATTTTTGGCAAAATAAAACAACATGCCAAATTTCATAAGGATCGGCCGACTATTCCAAAGCTAATTTTCAGCAAAAATCCAATCAATTTGCGTTAAATGTTTTGTAGTTGCACAATTATTGATTGGAATAAGGTTAACTTCATTTAAAGATTCCTCCAGTCGATCAGTGGTTGTAGATCTGCGTATATTAGAATCTCCTAATATTACCAATTTTGTATTACTTTCTAAGCTGCGTATTCTTTCTACATCCGCCATAACTTAATTTCGAAATTGTGTTATAGGAAAGTCAGGGTTCCTATAAACAACAATAAAGGATGTATCGAGATATTTGAAGGCAATTGATTGGTATGTAGTTCTTGAGCTTAAAGACTTATTTGTCTCAAAAAAGAAAACTACATTTTCGGCAATATTTTGCTTGGCATAAATCATAATTCCATTTTTGCCAATACCATTCAATCGATTGCTATCAATTCTTCTTATAATGTCGAAACCTTGTAACGAAAAGTCTTCGCTGGGAACCAAGTTTCGACAAAACAAAGAAAATTTGCAGAACATATGGTCGTTGAAAATATCTTCGCGATGGCTTTGAAGAGACTCAACATTATGGTAATATAGGGAGATTTCTTCAGTACGCTGACTAAAATTTCATATTGCGTAGTCAAGAACTTTTCCTCCCTTAACTTTTGAAGTTCGTTTTGGACATTTGGGGCTCCAAATCTTGTTGGAGGAACAAAGTCGCCTAGAAGGAAAAGTCCTGATGCGCTAGTAGCCCTGCTGCATCCAACATATAGCAAAGCTCGCTTGATGCCTCTTTTAAGATGCACGGCGACTTTGCTATATGTTGCTCCTTGGCTTTTGTGGTTGGTAGCCTCAGCAGGAACAATTGGGATTTTTTTTCGGTCAACAGAGGCATGCTCCGATCTTCCACATTGAAAAACTCGAAAGGCTTTTAATATTGGAGTCCACTGTTCCGAACCTTTCATCTAGCGATAGCGCCAACCGTCGCGTCACTAAATTTGAGCGATTCACTAAGCAATGGTCAATTTGCATTAGTTGCTCCATTTACAAGTCCGTCACTTGTGTGTATATTGACGGTTACCATATATTTAGCGGTTGTTTTGAGATGAAAATTATATGCTAAACCTTGTGTTTCAGAGGTTTTCATATTTTGAGCATATCTTAACGTGTTTTCTCTGTTTCGTGCAGATATGTTCACTGTATCAACTGCAGTGGAAACCAACTCTTCCGTCCCAATTTCCGCTAGTTTTATGGAATTGTAATTGTTAACTTCTTCGTTAGCAGAAAATAAATGAATGGCATCATCAGGAACTTCGCTGGGTGAAACAACTCTTTGTTTTAGGAGCTCTATATCTGCAATTGTCATGCAAGCCTCAGATAAAAGATTCAGGGCTTGAGCAAATGCATGATCGCCTCTTTGGCGCAATATTTCTGTGAGCTCAAAATACTTAACGTTGCTCCATAGGTTTTTTCCTGCTGAAACGCTATAAGGATTAATTGTCCTTTCCGAAAATATCCAACTGTCTCCAACTGGGGAAAGCTGCTTTAGATCTCCAAAAACTATAATAGATATTCCACCAAAACATATGTCAGGGCTTCGGAAAATTTGACGAAGCCTTTGATCCAAAAATGAAAGCATCTTAGAACCAACCATTGAAATTTCATCAATTATAATTAATTGGAGATCAATCAACTTGCAATGAATTGTATTTAAACTGTCATTGCTTAAAGGTCTTAAGGGACCTGAAGCCTGATTAATTGGAAGAGAAAACACTGAATGAAGTGTCAGTCCTCCAATTCCAAAAGTAGCTTTTCCAGTTGGAGCACATAATAAAACCTTTGCCGAATCCGTAGCACCAGTCTGCTTTTTCCTACACCGGCCCCTCCACCAACATATTCGTAAAAAATATTTTTACAAACAACATTATGCATCACATGTGCATAATATTGTCTTTGCTTATGTTTGAGGGACCGAGTTAGCTAGCAAAGGTCATCATTGGAAACTAACAGGGGGAGTCTAATTAAGTGAAGTTCGCCGTCTTCTTCAGGGTTGTTTACCGCATTGTCATAGTGAAGAATGTTTACGTTCCGCTCTATATTTGGTACTGCCAAAGCTCAAACTCTTCGTCCGAAAATTGGGAGGCAGGTTCTTCCGCAACAGGAGCATTATCTCCCCTATCCTCTTGCAAATCTTCCAGAACTCTTTCTAAATCCATATCATCCAACACATCATAGTTCCTTTTTTTGTCTTAATGGCTTCGTGGTTTGCTCGGAAGGTGTTTTCAATGTCGTTGGAAAGAAGTTCAGCTTCTTCACTTCGCCAAGGATAGAAGAGCATTAAATGCTCTCGGAAATAATCGGAAGGTGAAGAGTTAATGCTAAAACGAACCCACCGTAGAATCAGCGGATGCCTGCGTTTCTTAACGCAACCAGACCCATCCATCAGTGGATAGCTTTGCTCAGCAACTTCATCTTCGTCATCTACCTCCACATCATTTGCTTCATCATAGTCTTCCCTATGATTAGCGGCAGATCGTGCATTTCGCTTGACAAATCTGTACCAAGCCGCGAATTCGGCTAAACTAATTCCTTCCAACTTCTCATGCCTTTGCACATATCGGTCAAGAATATTACGCTCAAAAATATCCACCGAGTTGTTTGGTAGTCGCTCCAATTCTTCATTTGAGCGAGTCAATCTAACTCGTTTGTCTGGATGGCAAGTGTTTATAAAAATAGTACCTTCACTTGCCTCCGACATATGCAGACCCAAAATATTGTAAGCTGCTTCTTGGGCCGATATTTCTGTAGCGTTAATAAACTTATTCCCGAGGTGCTGTAATTTCCTTTTAATAGAAATATTCCCATAGCTGGGAATATGGGAAAGATTGAATTCCCCAAAAATATCGGTTTTGAACAATTTCATTAATTGCCGCAACCTATAATCGAAGTACCGGGAGCACGTCACTGGATCGGATCGGATTAACCGAGCCTTTTCGGAGCTGGAAAGAGCTGCCGCTTCTTCCTCGCTTATAGCCCTATTGTCCAATAGATGGGAAAGGATAACTAAAAGTTCATTCCACTTAGTTTTAGCAGCGGAAAGAGTAATGAAAAAGGTTGGCAACCCAAATTGTCGATTCATAGCAATAACTTTTTTTTTCAGCCTCCCAATGAGCTGGTGCAAACCGTAAGCCTTTAAGGATGTGGTAGCCATCATCATGTTGAACAAGTCTGTCAACAAATGACTCATCCCGCAGATTACCAGCGGTAGCTACACCTGACTTGTTCCGTAAAGCAATTGAAATAGAATTTTGAATGCGCTGCATTTCGTACAATGTATACATGTACAAAACTTTAGGAACTACAGCGCAGCGACGGTCGTAAAATCGGATTTGAGATCTGGCTTTTTTTTTGCATAGGTTGTATTTCCTTTAAATATTTCTCCGCAAGAAATAGTTGGAAAGAAAAGTTCCTCTGCGTCTTCGTCAAGCGTTAAGCTGAAGAAGTTGCTCTACTGCTTCACGATCACATTCATCCGCAATAAAAGGAATTTCATTAATTCCTTGAAGTCCTGCTAGCCATGATTTGTTCAGTGAAATGTTATGCTTTCTGTAGAGCTCGGTATTCCCTAAGTACCGTACAGCTTCAAGGACCCGAGCCGGTCGAATAGTTTCAGTCATGAAATTGTGAGCGTACTCTAGTCTCCTTTTTAAATGGACTTGGATGGCATGAGTAGAGTCGAAAGAGCGCGGAAGCGCAGTCACAATATCAGGAACTGAAATTGGAACGTTCACTACTGCCCCTCTGATTCCGCATTGCCTTTCATAGCCGAGGGAAATAATCCTCATAAAAGGAATTCTCGGTGAAATAAGGCGTTCTTCGAGGTAGGTGAGTCCATTTAAGCACTCAGGAACGTTCACTACTGCCCCTCTGATTCCGCATTGCCTTTCATAGCCGAGGGAAATAATCCTCATAAAAGGAATTTCTGGGAAGTCGAACCCATTGCAAAGGCAGAGTGATGGTAGCTTGCCAAGAGAGATGACACGACGACAAGTGTTGCAAAAGTTATATTTGCCTGACGGACTGGGAAATTTTCGTTACAAATAAAAAGCGTTGCCAACGTTTAGAAGGGGAAATTTAGAGGAGCTAGCCAGGATGTATAATCCACTTACCTGCGAACGGAACCATGTTCCTCCACAGCAAATACAAATTTCCGTTGGTCCTTCCTTTATGTTCCTGTGATAAAGATTCCTCCGCCATTTGCCTAATTTGTTCTTAACGAATCCTCCGCTGTTGTCGTGTTTCCCGGCGTTGTGATGTGTTTATCCGTTGCTCCTGTGTTCTTGCGATGGGATTTCTCCTGGTTACTCTCCTGTAATCGGGGTCCCTTTCCCGTTCTCGCTGCCTGTCTTCCGTATCTCTTCGTCGCTGTCGGTGCTCTCCAGTGTCCACTGGGTCCTCGCGATGATTAGCTTTTTTTTAGCTACGGCGTCTCGAATCCGCTCTTGAATTCGAAATTCGGGATTGGTCCTCCGCGTCGCATGGTCAGCAGTATTTTGCACCTGCTCTTGTCGC